ATGTCTTTATCCCTCCTCCACTTCCTTAGCTCTACATCCTGGCGTCTAGGGGGTGGGGGCAGGGATTTAACAAGTTCAGGATCCCTTGGGATCCTTTCACTACTCCCTGGTCTTGTTAGACACCCTGTTTACATGCCCCTAATTGCCCCGGGGGGAGAGGTTTGCTCCTTCCTCGCTCCCCCGCCGCCCACCCAACCAGGCTCGAGCAGGTGGGGTACTCAAGGAGTGAAAGGCAGGGGTCGGAATGCGCACCGGGGGCGGCGAGAGCCGGGAGAGATGAAATAATGGGGTGAGGTGGGCATCCCCTCCAGGTGGGCAGTGTTGACACTCGCCTTTCTGCGAGAGAAGTGGGAGGCCAGTAGAGGATGAAGTGAGGAAGAATAGAGAACTATTCGAAGGGTCAGGCACAACCCAGCTCCCTGATCCCAGCCTGCCCCCTCCTCCCGCAGGGCGGGGGTTGGGCGTGCGGCTCTAGGTTAAGGAGGTGCGGCCCTGGAGGAGGGGCTCGCTGTGGAGCTAGGCCAGGGCCTAGCGGCACCACCCTCTTCACTGCCAAGGCTGGGAGGATGACAGATACAGTTAAAGGGCCCAAGCCAAGCTGCCACCCCAGGTCTCCCAGGAGTTGTAGCTGGGGATTCCTAGCATCCAGCCCTTCTGCCCCCTGCCCACCAAATACCAACTGGGCACAGCCCTTCACAGGCAGTTCTTTCTCCCAGATGCCCGGCTTGAAGGGGTGGCATTTCAGGGGCTGTTCCTGCCACCCAGGGATAAGTAAGTGGTGGCTTCTCTTCACTTGTGGTCACTCAGCAACCTTCCTATAAAGCTATTCCCCTCCCTCCGTGTTGCGGAAACTAAGGTACCTGTAGGAATAGCTCTGGCTTTGATTTACTCCCTGCTGGATCAGGGTGTGTTGTGGGGAAACTGGGCAATGCCTAGAAAGGTGCTACTTCAGAGCAGGGCTGGAAACCTGGGTGAGGCTCAAGGACAGAGGCCCCACTGTGGCTGTGCAGCTACTCCAGGTCTGGCACTCTACCACTGGTGGCCCCCTCCTCAAAGCCTGTGGGGAGGAACAGTAGACTTTGGACTTGGGGATAGAGAGGCAAACCTTGGGTGGTGGCTGGGAGCCAGGCCTGGTCTAACCCGTTTTCCTGCTCCCAATGCCCCAGGCCGAGACTCCTGCCCACCTGAGTGCCAGGGCCAGGGAGGAGCCAGAGTGACCCATCACTCCCATGGGAACTGAGTGGGGCTGGTGGCATTCCTGATGACTCAAAAAGGCTGTGCCCATTCTTACTGAAGTGCTGAAGCACCAGCTCTTACCTATGAACCATAGTGCTATGCTTGGAAGGGAGTGTATGGGGGGGGGGTACAGCCAAGGTACAAGCCAAGAGGAGGGACCCTCAAGACCCTACCCCATGCAGAGACCTCCAAGCTCATTTCTCTAATGGATCTAATTACTGTTTGTGGAACTGGGAGTTGCCTGGCAACATTGGGAGCCAGTCTCTCCCCTCAGGGAGTTCCCAGAGACCAGGGACCCCAGTGATTTGACATTTTGCCCAGCACCCTATGCCTTCCTGTGTTCACCACACTCCTCTCTCTCTGCCAAGGTGTGTGCATTCCTATGCTAAGGAAATTAGGGGAAACTCTTGCCTACTTCTCTGAGTTTCTTTCTCCATTCAGATGTTTCCCCCATCCCCACACCACTCAGTACCACCATCAGGGACATTAAGACCAGCACTTTGATGGTAACTAGCAAGGCAGGTGGGGATTACAAGGGACCCAGCATCTGCTTTTCTGCCCATAGAAAGATCAGGGAAGTAAGAGACACAGCCATCTTGTCTGGGCACTATGCCCACCACTCTGCCCAGCATCATGAAGCGGGCATTGGTGCCCAGGTTGAGGAAGGAGGTGTAGAGACAGAGTTTTGGCTGATTGGCATGACACTGTTTAGAGCCATGGTGTTGAGTGCTTTAGTTCCTTGATCTCTTGTGTCACATTATTGGGGATCTAATTGTCAGTGGCCTCAGGGTGGAGGTCAGTGGGACTTAAGATACAGAGGCCAGTCATACTGTAGAGAGCATGTGCCAGTGTGTGTGTATGGGAAGGGCAGGAGAGAGCTTGAGATTACTGGGATCAACCAATACTGGCATGCACACATACCACCTAGCTTTTCTATGTGTATGCCGCCTATGTGGGGGCGGTGGACATATTTGTGTGTGTGCCATAGAACTTATGCGTGTATATGCATGAAGCCTCCATACATGCGTATGTGATGGCAGGTCCTGTCGGACTGGCCTCTGGGGTGGACTGGCAGCAGCAGGAAAGCATGCTGGGAGAGGCGATGGAGGGTGTGCATCCCTCCGAAGGGATTCCTCCCACTTTCACCCTTCCCTCCCATTCCTTCTATCCCTCCTCCCGTCTAGTGAATTATGGTGGGTGGACGGAGGAAATCCGGGCCTGGGTCTAGGAGTCGCAGGGGCCCGCGCCGTTTCTGTGGTAACCAAATCATACGTTCCCTTCTTCCCTCCACCCTTCTCCCCCGCCTCTTTTCCTTTGGAGGCCGGCTGGGCTTCCCTGCGCCTTTGCTACCCTCTGGTGGCCACCGGGAGAAGGGCAGAACAAGGAGTGGGCCGGGAAGGGTAGTGAGGGGACTGGCGGCACTAGGGCCCTGGGGACAGAGACAGGGACTGAGAAGAGAGGAAGCTCAGAAGAAAAAGCCGGGAGGCTCCTAAGACCCTGGGGAAGGTCTGCGGAGCGGTGAGGTGGAAAGCGGCCTGGCTTTGGGTTTTTTCTCTCTGACCCGCTTCCTTTCCCCACAGCCTGCGGCGAGAGGGCTACACGGTGCAGGTGAATGTGAACGATTATCTGGATATTTACTGCCCGCACTACAACAGCTCAGGGGTGGGCCCCGGGGCGGGGCCAGGGCCCGGAGGCGGGGCGGAGCAGTACGTACTGTATATGGTGAGCCGGGCGGGCTACCGCACCTGCAACGCCAGCCAAGGCTTCAAGCGCTGGGAGTGCAACCGACCGCACGCCCCCCACAGCCCCATCAAGTTCTCGGAGAAGTTCCAGCGCTACAGCGCCTTTTCTCTGGGCTACGAGTTCCATGCGGGCCACGAGTACTACTACATCTGTGAGTGTCGGGCGGAGGGCGGGGGCGGGGCCTAAGAGAGTCCTAGTGATGGCCAGGGGGTGGAGTCCCGAGGGGCCGGGGGCGGGCCAACGCGGCAGGCACTAGGTCTCTGTCAGTAGGAGTGATAGGAGTGATACCTCGGGATGAGGCGTGGGTCCTGCGGCCTTCGGGGTTCTAGCTCAGACAGGGTCATGAGGTTAGGGAAGGAGTTAAGTGACAATCTGAAGTTTGGGTCGCAGAGTCACTTTCTGTGAGGGACATTCCAGGGGGTAGGGATCTCAGGGGTCATTGTTTCTTGAGGGGCGGGACCCAAGGGGTTTCTAAGGCAGACGGCGGAGCCACCACAACCAATGTCCAAAGGGTGTAGGAAGTTCTGAAGGACACTACCCAAGAGGGGCAGTTTGGAGGGGGAGAGAAGGAGAGTTTCTGAGCGAGGAGGGCATGGGGTGTAAATCTGGAGAAAGGGACTCAGGCCCAGTCTCCTCTCCAGCCACGCCCACCCACAACCTGCACTGGAAGTGTCTGAGGATGAAGGTGTTCGTCTGCTGCGCCTCCAGTGAGTATAATCGGTTCCCAGCTGCGACCCCATCCTCAGCTCCCCTGCTTTGGGGCTCCCCTGGCTTCCTGGGGGTGGGGGCGGAGAGCACAGGCGAGGGGGACTCGCTCCCCAGCTGTAGCGGGGGGAGGGGATCCTGGCCCTGACTCTTCCCCTCCTCTCTCCCCACCCGCACCCCACCCCGCAGCATCGCACTCCGGGGAGAAGCCGGTCCCCACTCTCCCCCAGTTCACCATGGGCCCTAATGTGAAGATCAACGTGCTGGGTGAGTCTGCGCAGCGCCCTCTGGTGGCCACTGCTGGAACCGCAGCCCCCTCCCCGGTGCCTGCTCACCTTGCATGTCTTTCCCCCGGGGGCACCGATCCTCCCCACCCCGTGGTCACGCCCCCCCCCCACTGCTGCTGCCGCTGCCGCTGCCGCGTGCCCCCACCCCGGCGCACAGCCCAACCCTCACCAGTCTGTCTATTAATCTCTCCACAGAAGACTTTGAGGGAGAGAACCCCCAGGTGCCCAAGCTTGAGAAGAGCATCAGCGGGACCAGCCCCAAGCGGGAACACCTGCCCCTGGCGGTGGGCATCGCCTTCTTCCTTATGACACTCTTGGCCTCCTAGCTCTGCCCCTTCCCATAACAGGGAGAGATGGGGCGAGGCTGGGACAGAGCTGGGAGCATTTGGCCTCTCCAAGGGAAGCCTAGTCGTGGGCTCTAGACCCCTCCTCCGATGGCTTGAAGTGGGGTCTGCACCATACATCTGTGCCCGCCCCTTCTGCCCCCTCCCCCTCGTAGGGCACTGCAGTGGACCGGGTGCAGGGACAGCCACGGGTCCCAGGTGGCCTTGTGGCTCTGGTAATGTTTGGTACCAAACCGGGGGGCCATAAAGGGTAGTGCTCAGGACTGCCTGCCCCCTGGTACCTTTCTCTGACCCCTGGTGCCCTCCTCCTTTGTCCCCCCAGAGAGACAGATGTGCCCCAGAGAGAGCAAATCGAAGCGTGGGAGACACCCTCATCACTCTCTTCCAGGGGCAGAACATGGGGAGGGGACTAGATGGGTGAGGGGGTGGCACCGTCCGCTGCCCCCTTCCCCTGTTTACAGCAATAAGCACGTCCTCCTCCCCCCACTCCCACTCCCAGGATTGTGCTTTGGATTGAATCCAAGTTTACAAGTTAGACACCCCTGGGGGGGGTGGGCAGTGGACAAGGGTGACAAGGGGTGGGCATTGGGGTGCCAGGCAGGCATGTACAGACTCTATATCTCTATATATAATGTACAGACGGACAGAGTCCCTCCCCCTCCTTAACCTCCTGACCTTCCTTGACTTCCCCTTCCAGCTTCAGACCCCTTCCCCACCAGGCTAGGCCCCCCCCACTGGGGGACCCCCTGGCCCCTTTTGTCTTCTGTGAAGACAGGACCTATGCAACGCACAGACACTTTTGGAGACCGTGAGACAACAACGTCCCCTCCCCTCCAGCCCTGAGCCGGGACTCAACTCCCAAGACCCTGCCCTGCCCATCCTCTGTGGTCCCCACCCATCCTCCTGGGCCTTTTTCAAGTGCTTTGGCTGTGACTTTCATACTCTGCTCTTAGTCTAAAAAAATAAACTGGAGATAAAAATAACTGAGTGTGTGTGATTTCCAGGGTCCATCACCTTTCTGTACACTGCTTAAATAAACCCCACAGGTCACAGGGCCTGGGGAGGGGAGGGGACTCTGGGGCCAAAGGGTCAACTGAACACCTTGTTCTGTGGCTCATCTCCTCTAAGGAGGCAGCTCTGTGTGGAAGGAGAAACAGGAGCTTCTAAGCTGGGCCTGGATGACTTTGGTCAACCTCTTAGAGCCTCAAGTATCTCATCAGGAAGTTTGGGTTCTAATATATCTTTCACAGTGCTGGTGTCAAGATTAAATGGCAGAGGGAGTATAAGGCTCAGTCAGTGATGGTTTTCTCCTTTTCTTCCCATTCGATTCTGTAACCAGAGGTTTTTGACTGGGGTCTGTGGATTTCAGGGGGGTTGTGAACCTAGATAGGAAAATATATATATATATCTTTATTTTTACTCTCCTGTAACTGAAATTTAACATCCTCTTATGTACTTGGGCAATGAGCTGCAATAGTTTTAAGAGTGCCTGTGACTTTGTAACTAACAGAAATCACAGATGTGTTCAGATTGCGTTACAGTTTTTGAAGATAACTCAAAATATAATTTACTCTCATCATTCCTTTGAAATAACTGTAGTTGTTAGATCTTGTTTCTAATGTGTTAATAAAGAAGCATATATATTACTATACCCCAAAATGTAAATGTTTTGATGACTGTGTTTCAATATAATTGGTTTTCTTTATAATCCTTTGTAATTTTTTTTTTCATTTAAAACATTGTGGCCAAAAGGCTGAGAGTTTGCTGGTGCTGGGGCCACACATAATACAGCACCCTGCATCCGTCAGGAGAGTGGGGGACAGAAGGCAAAAGACGGGACAGTGACGAAGCAGGCAAAGGCCTCTTCTCAAGAGCCATAGCCCCACCCAGGCTGGGTGAGGTCAGGGTTATACAGGTGGGCACCTCGGGGGTAGGGGGAGGATACCAATAGGGGCTAAAATCTATCCAGGCTTCACTTGCCCATCCAAGTGCCCTGGCCCAGGGAGGGAGGGCCTTTTTCCTCATTGCCAAGCTGTGTACTCTTAGGACTCCATCCCAACCGAGTTCTCTAATCCGCACTGTGTGGACAGGCTGGGTCCTGGGTGAGTGCCCCTCCTGTGTGCCCGTGGCTCTTGCCAGCTGCCTTGTGAATCTCTGGGTGGTAGGGACTGTGTCTTCTCTCCCTCTGTATTCAGAGAATATGGGAACTGGAATTTCAGCTGGACCCTGGAGAGGGTAGGTTTCCCGCTGGCAGAGCAGGGAGGAGTGGGGGTGGGAGGGCAGGTCCTGGCCCTTTCTGAGGGCCCTAGTCTGAGCTCCCTACCTGGAGACAAGACTTGAAAATGTCGGCTCATTCATCCAATCGTTCATGGCTTCCAACGACATTTATTGAGCACCTGCTGAGTGCCAGGCTCTACCTTGGGTACTGGGGATACAAGAAACCATGTAGCCTCAGATAAGCTCATAATTTAACATACGTGAAGAGGAAACAGTAAGTAACATACACACATATGACAATATAACCGGGTGTAACGTGGTTCAATGCCAGGAGGCTGTGGGAACAAGGAGGAAAAAGCACACTCTTGCCTGGGAACACAGGAGGAGGCACACACAGCTGGTGCCCTACTGGGCAGTCTCGAGGGCCTTGAAGGCTGAAGAGTGTGGGTCTGTCCCTGAAAGGAACCTTGACAGTGGACACAGACTGCAGGCTCCCTCAAATCCCAGGGCTACCTGGGGCAGGGCTTGACCAGCTAGGAAGGGGAGGGCCTACTGGGTCCAAAAATCCAGGAATAGGAACACTGCAAAAGGGCCAGGCAGTTGGGAGCAAGAACTAGACCAAACCAGCTTCCGTTTACTGAGTGCCTACTATGTGCCAGGCTCCGTGCCCAGTGCTTTATGTGCACTGTGAGCATCGTGCCCTTGGAAGCCTTACTATCCCAATAGCACAGATGGGAAAACTTGATGGTCTAAGAGGCTATGTCCCTTGACCAGGGTCACACAGCCTGGTAAGGCTGGCATTCAAAGCGGGTCTCACTGTCACCATGCTCTGACCATTGGAACCTGCACCACCACCTGGAACTCCTTCCCACAAATCCTGATTGCCTCCTCTCACCCCCCTCCACCAAAGTCAGAGTTTTTGGAAAAAGACATCAAAGGACCTCAGTTCTGGATTGGAGGAACCAACCTGAACCCCACACTGTACACCTGGAAAATCGAGGCTCCAAGAGAGTAGGTGACTTGCCTACAGTCATTCAGATGTTCATGGCAGAGCCAGGACTGGAACTCAGGTGTCCTGAGAATTGGAGACCGGTCTTTGAAACATCTTAAACTGCCATAAACAGGGATTAAGGAGGAAGCACCACTCCCTCAAAGATCCCTTTTCGTCTCCCCTGAGGCCAGGGCTTCAGGACTTGCTGGGATCTCCCCTCACGCAAAGCTCTAGATTCCCAGGCATAAGAGAGAGTGCTGTAAGCAGTCAGCATTTGGATGCACAGATGCCATGACCATGAGCCTGCCTGGCTCAAGGCCTCTGTCTTGTGGCAGCAAGGTCTGCACAGCCCGGGGTGTCCTGGCCAAGGCAGAGGTGAGATGACTCCAGCAGAGGCGCCCGGGGGCAAAGGCTGGAGGTGCGAATGAGGGCAGGGGCTGGCAGGAGGAAGGAAGAGGGCCCAAGGTCCAGACTCAATACCTGCTGATGGGTAGCATGGGGCAGGGGACGAGAGCACAGAACAAAATAGAATAGCTTTGGATATGGGACTGAGCAAGCTATTGGGGGAGGGGGAAGAGGGTGACAAGACGACAGTAGGGCAAGGGAAAGCCAGGCTAAGCCACCTCGTTCTTGCTGCCACACCCCAGCACCTGCGGCCCCTCTAGAAGCTGCTGGTGGCTGCCCATGGCACCCTGCAGGGATATTCTGTTAGTGTGCTGTCCCCACCCCAAAGCATAGAGCCCTGAGGCCAAGGAAGTTCAGTTCAGGGAAGTTCAATGCCAGCTCCAGACTAGCAAAGCCAACTCCGGATGGCAGCATGCCCACCCCGAGCAGGGTCCTCTTCCTCCTTGTTGTCTCATTCTGGCCACCTCCACAGGGGCTTCAAGAGGGGTCATATCCACACGTGCTGGAATTCCCAGAGGGTCCACACAGGACACCCCAGGACATAGCTGGACAGAGACTCTCACACGGCCCCTCCCCTGGGTCAAAAACAGCAGCCACAACAAACAATCCAGTACACATTCTGGCTTGGGGAGTGAGGTTCAGAGCCAGCCACGTCCTCCCCTTCTGGATATGAGGTTGTCCTAGCCTTGCTGTGGGGAAGGAGGAGGAGGAGGGCTGTCCGCAGTCCCAGCTGAGTATGAAGCCTTGTCCACTGGGTTGCAGGCTGGGCCTTGAGGGATTGGGGGCTTGAGCCCAGAGGATGCTTTGGGCTCAGCCTATTTTCCAGCCTGGGGCAGAGTGGAGATGTCTCAGCCCATCCTCCGTCTCAGAAATTCTCTGACCCCCTTACCTCCTTCTCTCCCTCCCTTCATTCTAGATGCTATGGGGTTGGGAGTGGTCCAGCTCAGAGCTACACAGCCCTAAAGCCTTACACTGTCTCCGTCGCCCTCCTCGCTCTGCCCAGCTGGCAAACCCAGGGGCATGGGCTGGATGTGGTGGTGACACGGATTGGGAGGGGACAGGGATTGGAATGGAGAGACATGAGCTAGGACCAGGAGGTATGGACGTGAATGGGGACTTGGATCCACACAAGTGTGGATGAAGGACCTGAGCTAGGTTACGGGGAGGGCCAGCACGAGGGACACAGGCAGGAAGTGGTGGGGACTCACAGGCTGGGTAGCTCAGCCCCTGGACTACTAAGTGTGATGCTGACACTCAGGGGATAGCCCAGATGGGCTGGGGCCAGGCCAGCTAGAAACACTCTGGGCCCAGAGCAGGAAGAGCAGCTTCAGGCAGAACCCAGTGATGCTGGCCTGAGATCTGAGCCCTGGGAGGTCTGGCCTCAGGCTTGAACAGAGGTTGGTGGAACAGCCTCTCCTCCAGGGGGTCAGCGTCATACTCTTGGCTTTCACCAGTCTGGCCAGGGGGTAATTATGGGCTGTCGCCAAGCTGGCTATGAAGGGTGGACAAACCGGCCTGGGGACCTAAACAGAGCTCAGTTCAAGTGGCCTGGGGTCCTCCAACCTGACCTTGAGAGGCTGGTGTTGGCCAGGGGATGCTCCAGCCTCACGTTCACGCTCACATACAATTTTGCACACTTCAGTTCACACCCAGTCATATAACCTCACAACCTTGCGACCCCACACAGTCAATCAAATTCCCTGCCTTGAGAGGGGTCTTGCGGGGAGGAAAACCCTGAAGGGGCCTCAGAAAGGAAGGCAGGGGCTTTGTTTACACAGCTGAAGTAGAAGGGGCCTCCCTGGGCGGGGGGAGCAGCCCAGGCACCGTAGGTCCACTGGCCACCCCTGCCCTGCCCCCACCCCGAGGGCAGGCCCCTGACACACACTCCTCCACCACTTCCACACACCTTCAGACGTGTGTGCTCAACACACTTCAAAGCCACAGTCCCTCCGTTCTCAGATATCAGGCAACACAGGAACGTCACACTAACACATACGAACGAGAGCCCACCCACAGGTGGACGGTCTCACAGGCACTGGAGCCACACTTGCATCCAAGATCACAAAGGGTGACAGACTTGAGGGCTGGCATCCCACAGATGATAGTCACCAACACAGACCATGCTGACAGTCCCAACTAAATAAGCTGTTTTGTGCCAGGAAGGGCAGCAGCCGAACCAACCGGACAAAGTCTGGAGTCCAGGAAAGTCAAGCAGAGGGAAGGTGTGGGGTGTGGGGTGTGGGGTGTGGGGAGACCAGTGCCACATTCACACCCTCTGGAACCTACAGGTCATGTCAACAGCCACACAGGACACAAAAATAACCCAAGGGCCCTCAGGATGTGCCCAGACGTACTCTCAGACACAGGGCG